TGATATGACGAAAAAGTGTTTTGTTTGAGTTTTTTGAAAATTTACACACCTAACGACACTAACACTAATGTTTGTCACTTGTAATATAGGCTGGCTCTACTCAAAAATAGCTCTACTCAACTCTACTGGCTCTACTCTACTGGCTCTACTCTACTGGCTCTACTGTACTCTACTGGCTCTACTCTACTGGCTCTACTCAAAAATAGCTCTACTCAAAAATAGCTCTACTCAAAAATAGCTCTACTCAACTCTACTGGCTCTACTCAAAAATAGCTCTACTCAAAAATAGCTCTACTCAACTCTACTGGCTCTACTCAAAAATAGAACTCTATCTTTTTAGCATTCAAAACAATCGAAAAAGTTCGAATCTTTGATAAATAACTGTAAAAATTGTAAAACATATTTGCTTAGATGTTTGAAGGCAAGACAAATAACTGTAGAAGTATTAAAGGATCAAATAAACAAAATAAAATGTAGAAGCATCAAATAGACAACATAAAATGTAAAAGCATCAAATACACAACAAAATAGTTGAGTCATGATAGAGCAATTAAATCAAAATATAAAATTATTGAGTAATACTTTGCTAGTAAACTTTGCTAGAAAAAGTAAACCCATTGAGGTCAAGTATGATCACAAAAAGAATAAATCGATAGGGTTACAGTGAGTGAAAAGGAGACAAAAAAAGGGGGTTGATGGGTGGGTAAGAGAAAGAGAAGATGAGGAGGTGGAGGGTCAGACTGGATTGTACGGGTCAACCCCTTGTCTTCATCCATTTTCGGCCTCCTACAAGAAAGGGGATCTCTTGGTGCTCTTTCGCCCCTTTTCTTCCACTCAATCTTCCGCCTCTATACACATTGGGACTGGTGGTGGAGATCTTTTCCTTTTCTTCTCATCCTTTTCTTCTCTCTAATCTCTCTCAAAAGTGACTCCTTTCTTGTCGATCTTAATCCCTCATAGTTGACTTTCTATGTCTATCACTTCAATGTCTCTTCACCAAATTGTTGTTCACTTGGTCGATCAACATTTGTACTCGCTTTGTTACCCGGTACCCGGTACCCGGTCACCCGTTTCTTCTTTTACTCGATTGTTAGTACCGCAGTACATAGAACAGTATGATGTATACTGTTCGATGAATGGTTTCTATTTTTGTTATTGTTTTGTTATTGTTTTGTTTGGTTTGTTATTGTTTTGTTATTGTTTTGTTATTTTTTGTTTTTTTTTTGTTATTGGTTTTAAACATTTGCTGATAGCTCTCAGTCTCAGTCTCAGTCTTATAGCTAAATAAATTCTAATTTGACACTTGTTTTAATTGAAATTTTGATTTCTTAGAAAACGTTTTCTTAGAAAACCTCTTTCCACTAACCTACCAAAATTACTTTCAGATTTCTCCAAAGATGAAACAAAAATTTGGCTGAGATAACTCTCAGCCAGTCAGTCAGTCTCTTTTTCCATACAGCTAGAAGATATTTCTAGGTAGTTCTAAAGACTGTTTTGTTATGAATAGCTCAAATTATTTGTGAGCTATCATTGACAAGACTCTTTCTTCGATCAACCGGATCAATGGCCTTGGGGCCCTTCCCTTCCCCCTCGCCATCTGTCGATCGATTGCCCATCCAATTTTCTCTCTTTCTCTATGCCTCTCTTTTCTCATTTTCTTATTTTCTCTCAATTTCCCACCTGGATATTGCTTCGTTTCTTTTGTAAACTATTTTCTTTTATCAATCTTAGTTTATATTACAGTTTATATTACAAATTTTTTTATCGTTATTATCATTAGTATTTTTTTAAAGTTAAAGCTTTAAGGAATCTAAGCATCACTTTGGCATTCATAGATCAAATTCTATTTGCCTTAAAGTTAAAGCTTTAAGGAATCTAAGCATCACTTTGGCATTCTATCAAATTCTATTTGCCTTAAAATTAAAGCTTTAAGGAATCTAAGCATCACTTTGGCATTCTATCAAATTCTATTTGCCTTAAAATTAAAGCTTTAAGGAATCTAAGCATCACTTTGGCATTCATAGATCAAATTCTATTTGCCTTAGAAAACCAAAAAATTATTCACGTTTTAGAAAATTCAGTTTTAGAAAAACTTATTCGCTCAAATTCAGTTCTTGGATGAGAGCCTTTGTTCTCATTACCAATGGAAAATGACTGACTGAAAAATTCGTAAACCATTTCATTTCGTACTTGATTCAAGAATAATTCTCATTCTAGGTCTTAATTGAAGTGACTTTTTCACAGCTTCAACTTTGACACTAATACTTAGCTGTATAGTTTTGGATGTAGAAGGGAAAGCTCTCCCTTCTCACACTTCGAGAATCGATATGAGTGCACTAGCTCGCTCTTTCCCTTCTCTTCTTTGCTTTCCATTCATTTCCTCTCCAATTTCTCTTCTTTTTCAAGAAATCTTCTATTCCCCACGTGCCTTCTATTGCTCAATATTTGTTTCTTGTCACACTTATTTTTCTTCCACAATAATAACATGGTTTTTTGAATTGTGTTTCTCACTCGCACCTGATTTAGAAAGATTAGATCATTTGGGAACGCGAGTTTTAATGCTTTTAATGAGTAATTCAAGAACAAGATTGTTCGGATAGTTATTGCAACTGTTAGCTGTTTATTTAGCTTTAGTTGGCTTTGTTATAATTTTCACTATCAATGAACTCTCAAAAGAGTGGCTAAGAATTGACCGTAATCTTTGATTTGTTAGATTGTAGATAATGTAAATCTTATTGTCCTTTTAAAGTTGTTAGCTTGGCTTTAGGTGGTACATAGACTTGATTGACATTTTACAACTGAAAATGAAGCTAAATGAAGTCAGAGAACATTCGCTACGAAAACACTGTACATTGTGATTAGAGTGTGTTCCTCACGAGTAAATCGCTCGAGTAAAGTTTACATGAGTAATTTCTACTCGATTTACCGACGTTTTTTTTTGGTCGAGTCACTACAAATAATCCTCTTTACACGTCGAGTAAATTGAATATCTTTAGATATGAAAGGGAATCTCCACCAAATTAGTTAACAAGCTGAATATCTTTACATTTGAAGGGAATTCGCCATGAAATAATTTAAACAGCTGAATATCTTTACATTTGAAAAGAAATCTCCACCAAATTATTTAAACGGCTGAATATCTTTAAAAGGAGTCGTATATAACGCGGCGCTCGTCATTTCTCCGCCAATTTTTTTATTTTTTTTCAATAATTTTCGCTGAAGTACTTTCGCTGAAGAGGTAATTTTTCCCAAATGTGTTTTTTAAAAAAAAAACGCATCACTCGTGAGGAACACACTCTAATTGTAAACCTGGTTCAACCAATACCCATTCAAAAAACCCAGTGAAATGTGGTGTGGTCATTGAAATAGTGGACCTCTTTGCACACAAATAAAGAGACAGATCCCAGGTGGCTGCCCATCGACCAATCTTTTTTTCCTTTCCCCCCTTGTGTGCACATCGATGCATAGAGGAGGCTATTTGTCGTGCCCTCTCCTGTCTCCGATCACTCCTCCCATCCTCCACCCCGAATTGGATTCTCATGTCGGTCAGCTGACAGAGTCACCAATCTTTCCCCCTCCTCTTTCCATCCGTTTCCTTTTGTATCTCAAGTTTTCTCATTTTTTTTGACCAGATCTCTAGACCTCTCGTGTCCCCTTTCCCCCACATCCAGCTGTGTGACTTTGAAATTAGAGACAAAGACGATCTTTCTATACACAAGGTCAGCTCTGTATTCGAATTTAGTCTACCGTATTCTTTTCCACTATGTCACCCACTGTCGGCAATTTGAGCGAGAGCTTGTGGTAAATTTTTGAATCAAGAATTATTTGATCAGTTCTGGGTTTTAAAAGTTCTAGTCTTTGAAAGATCTTTGAAAGATCTTCGAAATTTCTCCATCGGAACACCCTCTTCAGCACTAGTGAAGCCAATTATTACAGTTATTTTTCTTTTCCTTGACAAATGAGGAATTTCTCTCAATCTCTCAGATAACCGGCTTTTACAGAAACTTTGTATTTGAATTTGAATTTGAATTCTCTTTTGAATTTGAATTTGAATTTCGAATCATAGAATTCTCGGCGTTTTATGAGAGTATTGAAAAGTTTGATTTAATTCTAGAATAAAGTCATAAACGAGTTTGGATAAAGTTGATGTTTACTATAGATTCAAAATACTGTAATTACTGTAAGTCAAGTACTGTACTTCTTGAGCCTAATTGGAAGCCTAATTATTCTTGAGCCAAATTCTTGAGCCTAATTCTTGAGCCTAATTCTTGAGCCTAATTCTTGAGCCTAATTCTTGAGCCTAATTCTTGAGCCCAATTCTTGAGCCTAATTCTTGAGCCAAAGTCTTGAGCCAAAGTCTTGAGCCAAATTCTTGAGCCAAAGTCTTGAGCCTAATTCTTGAGCCAAGTTAAAAACTAGTTTTATTATACCAAATCAGATATCTATTGAAATTGGGTTTCTTTATGAGAAAGTTTTAAAATCTCAGATAAAATAGACTTAATAGCACTTGTATTATATTGATGTTTTTTGATAGATGATTTTTTTAAGATGAGCTAAAAACTATTAAGCTTTATCTTTCTTCTAACCACAATCATCCTTTTGATAGTGAGAGCAATTTTACGACTATTTGCGCAAGGAATGGTGCGCCGAAAGGCTTATCGTTTTATTTCTTCTTTACGATCGTCTTTTTCTCTTCACAAATTACAGAAATATTCGCCTCAAATGTAAACATTTCTCATGATTTTATTCGAGGCACGACATTTGAACAAAACCTTAGCAATGATCATTTGTAGATACTTGTAGATCTTTGTAGATCATTAACAAGATCATTTGTAGATATCCCATTTCAAATCTACACTAATTTTTTTCTTATTCTAGAAGATTTTTGCATAAATTTATCCAGATTTTTGTTATCATTGTAGCTTGTAGCCTTGTTAAATGGGAATCCATTTTTCTCGTTTCCTAATTTCCTACTATTCAATCATCACTTTTCCAGTTGTATGACGAGTTCGACTCTCGTCGAAACGGTGAATATCAATCTCGAGGATTTCTCTGAGGCTTTTCTCACTTGTTCGACGTGTCTCTATCAATACGATCAGGTAAAGAAATGGGTTTTTTCCATTTTTAAATATTTTCGTTATTAATTAGTAAAATGTCATTAATTAGTACTTGTAAAATAGAATGGGTGGCAAAGATGAGCTCAAAACAGAATTGAGTACCTTGGTTTGCTTGTAGCTTGTAGCCTTGTTAAATGGGAATCCATTTTTCTCGTTCCCTAATTTCCTACTATAATAAACAGGAAGACGGATTTAGTATAGTTTACCCAACTTATTGTACTGTACAATAAGTACTGATTGTACAGTACAATTGACACAGTAAACTGGACTGTACAATTGACACGGTAAACTGGACTGTACAATTGACACAGTAAACTAGACTGTACAAAATCATTATCAAAATAAAACCAACTTCTTTTAACACAGCTATTTCCCAGCTTGAGATCATCAATTAAGCTTTAATCAATTCCCATTTCGATCCACGATCATATTGGGTTTTCTGTTCGCTGTACAGTACTCGTGATTCGATCATGTGCTCGGAATTGATTTCGATCTTTAATAGGGCACTTGATTCGATTATATCTCGCAAAAGAGAATGATGTGACTCTGTAAAAATCAAAATAGAACATAAAAAATGTTTTCAGGAAGAGCGCAAAGCGAAACTTCTCCCCTGTTCACATAGTGTTTGTCTCTTTTGTCTCGAACAACTTCTGCAAGTACAACAAGTTGGTTTAAAGGAGTTTCTAAAGATTCTAAAGTTTCTAAAGATTATCATCTGGTTTAGAGTTTAATATTTGTAAATTTGAGAATGCAAACGCTCCATCATCATGCCTCCGATGTCCAATGTGTCGAGAAGTTTGTGCACTTCCATCTGGTGGAGTGGTTGCACTACCAGCTGCTTTTATGATCAATCAATTGCTTGATGTGATGACAAAACAAAGAAAAGTGAGTGGGGGAAAGGGTACTCAGTGAATATACATCTACTTCTAAGCTCTTCCACTTGTTTAGACTATATTTTGGTAAGTTAAAAAGATTAGTTTAGTATATTGTACAATAAACTAACAAATATACTAAACTAATCTTTTTAACCTACCAAAATATAGTCTAAACAAGTGGAAGAGCTTAGAAGTAGATGTGTATTCACGGAGTTACTGTCATTCATTTGTCTAAGCCAAATAAATTGGGATACGGTAATGGGTAATGGGTGTAGTGTACGGTAGACATGGGAATTGCCAGAGAGCGTGCGTTTACTAGCACAAAGATAGGACTTTGCACAAAGACTTTGTTCTATGTTTAGATCAAAAACTAGGCATTGTAAAAATTCGAATCCAAACCTAATTCCACTTTCGTTTTCTTGGCCGTTTACTCTAAAATCTTATCTACAGATCGAAATCGACATTTTCAGTTTGTAGACAAAATTTCAGAGTAATCAGTCAAGAAACGGCTGAGAAAACGAAGGTGGAATTAGATTCAACTTGAAATTTTCCTATGTCTAGTACGTCCTAGTCTGTACGGTAGACAGGCTTGGGGGAAAAGGTGGGGAAGTCGTAAGCTTCTTAAAGTACCAAACCAATTACTTGACTTCAATACTTTTAACAATTACCGATTTTAGGACGTGGTCCCCCATTGTGCAATGCATCCGTGTGACAACATGCTGTATTGTGAGAGTTGCGATCTCGTTTTTTGTCAACAATGTCAAGAAACTTCATCAAAGTAAGCAAAAAGAGACGAATTTTTCGAAATTTTCATTAAGAAATGCTATTTTTTAGTAAGAAATGCTCACAGCACACGGTGATCCCATTGGCAATCGCGTTGAAACGAATGAGTGAGATTATGTTGTACAGAACAAAGAGTCGTTTGAAAGCACTTGAACAGGTGAAATGGAAATAAAATAATGGAAAAGAAATAATGGAATAGAAATAATGGAATAGAAATTTTCATATTAAAACAAAGTATTACAATAATATTTGAAAATAATTTGTTAACGAATTAGGCTCAAACGGCTATCAACGAAGAAATCCGGCTTTTGGACACTAATGCCGACACAATTGTTGATCAAATCAACTCCGCATTTCAGGCAAGTAATTAAATCATATGTTTAAGATTTATAATATTATCTGTTATCTTAGAAATAATTTTAGGAAGTATCACATATCATTGAAACAAGACGACGAGAATTACTTGAAAGTGTTCGTGTACGGCGAGATGATAAAAGAAAGGTTTGATAAATGTAATCCATCAAAAATTCAAATCCAAAAATGTTTTTAGGTTCTTCGAGATCAAATGGAAAGCCTTTCTGATGAAATGAAGAAATTGGATAAGGTTGGTGAAGGGAATTTTTAATTTTTTTATTAATAACTGTCGTAAAGATAATCTCAAGTAGAAGCTACAGTAATAACTGTCGTAATACTCAGTAATAACTGTCGTAAAGATACTCTTTCTTCCCTCTGTTCATTACCCACTTTACTTCAGCAATACAGTTTCACTTCTAAGACCAAACTTCCATTGCATTCTTTAACCATTGCAATCAGTGTCTATTCTAGGAATTGGAGAGCGGAAGTCTTGATGTGCGCGAGTTGGGTAGACGAATTCGTGAATGGGAATCGAATGGAGCAAGTCGAATGGATATCGAACCACGAGAGAACGCTTTTCTACGATTGAACACCAATGACAGTCAGCTCACACAGGGTACAATTTGAAGGAATTGTTTTGTAGCTTCTTTTGGAGATAGCAGTGCAAAGGGGTAACCAAAATCTCAATCTTTCAGAAGTGCAACGCTGTGTCGGAGCATTCGGTGCTTTAACAGCTTCATCGACTTTCCCCGGTGCATCGACAATTGACCAAACCGAATCAGCTACCACTCATACAGAAACATTATTGAAAGTGACCACATGTGATGTAAATGGAAAGCTTAGGTAAATGGCAAAAGAAAATGTTTAAAGCAGTCTTTAACTTTAGAAATACTGGTGGTGATCCGATTAGCGCTTGCATTGAAGGAGATGGATGTGAGAACTACAATTGTTCGGTGAAAGATAACGATGATGGAACATATGATGTCATTTTTCGGTGAGAAAAAGGAATAAAACAAAGAAATGATTTGAATTTTAGTATTCGTGATCCGGGAGAATACCGGGTAAATGTGAAGATTTTTGGAAGACCCGTAAAGAATAGCCCGTTTTTAGTCACCGTCGAGAGCCACCATTCACCAAGGTTTGTTTAGATTTTTCAATCTTATATAACTTTATATTCAAATTGTAAGAGACAAGGTTTAATTACTCAAGAAGTAAAGCTATATGTTGTAAATTTTTCATAGTAGATGAATAAGTATCGACTTCAATCTCTCCCTAACATTTGTATAATACTTTTTGTGCTTTCTGGTGCAGTTGTTTTTATTCTTTTAATGATTTAAATACAACGAAGAAATACTTCTGGCATTAATGCTAGATAGATTTGTTTACAGAAGGCAAGTCGAGCAACCGCAACAGCAAGTCACTCAATCTAAATAATATAAATAGTATCTACTTCTTTAGTCGTAGATCAAAGTAAAAGACAGAATTTTATATCTCACTTTGGAGCCAGTTCACCAGCAAGTAGCATCCCAGTAACTGAATATAGATGCTGATTAAATCTACCATCAACTTTCCAATACAATTATTCTTTGAATTATTTGAATTATTCTTTTTAGATGGCAATTGGCTGTGGAATTGCGTCAACCGACCCGCGTTTGCCTTCAAGGCCCTCATATTTTCTATGTACTTGACACGGGAAATAATCGAAGTAGAGAAATTTAGCTTTTATAATATTAAAGACGTTTTCAGTTCGTATCGTAAAAGACAATGGTGATGTGATCAATGACATCTTTTCGCCGTGTTTGGAGGTAAGTGCGGTAACCGAATGCTGTAAATAAAACGGAAATTTTAGGGTGGCAGTGCTGTCGGAATGGCTATGATCGATGCTGAGCATTTAGCCGTGCTAAATTGGAAAACGAAAAGTGTCAGTCGGATCCGAACAAAGGGAATTGTTTCAGAGGTGGGTCATTGAGTACATCGAATTCTAAAAAAGCTTCCTTTTTGAGGCCCAGTACTTGAAATTTCAATTCGATAAGTGAAAGCTTTCAGAAAATGACTTTTGCCGAGTTTCAAGAGCCGATCGATTTAGCGGTGGATAGAAGAGGACGGCTATTGATAGCTGATGCTGACAAGGTTTTGCTAGTTGAATGAGATTTTAACCCAGCTTTATCTACAGGTTTTCGTTTTTGATGCCACTTTCCGATATCTTTTCTCATTTGCCGCAAAACAGCAGCAAATCACTTGTGTCAATGTTGGTCTAAATGATGATATAATGGTGAGTAAAAGGATAAAATATCGTAAATACTCTAATAAAACGCTCTCGTACAGTCGCGTAATCCAACTTCTTTTTAGAAAATCATTTTTTTCTCGACCCCTAGCTTTTTCCTAACAATACTTTTGGTACCAAAAAATACTAGCTTTCAAGGGCTATCATTTGACACCCAAGCGCATACTGTAGCATAAAACAGCGAGGAGAATGGGACGTTCAAAGTTAGACTACGCGACTGTACGCCCGTCATCATGGGGTGGCCACGTGGCTGTCTATCAGTCTTTACGGTAGATTTTAAAACCTTGATTTAGGTTGGCACCAAGCATGGACTTCAACTCTTTGATGGAGCCGGGCGGTTCTTGAGAGAAATCCCCGTGAATCTCGAGGAAAAGTGAGTTGAAAATGGAGCTTGGTGTAGGTTTCATAATATTTATTGCAGACGTTCAATGATGGTCACCTCGTGTGCGGTGTGTCCATCCACAGCAAGAATTATTAGCGGAGTTGTCGATCCGAAAACGAATCGCGCTCAGTTGGCCGTCTCGCAATACAAGGTTTGATTGAGAAATTTGAAAAACTAAAGCTTTTATATATTGCAAATATTTCACCTGTTTGATCTCTGTTTTCAATATTCGAGTTTTAGGGTCAATTCGTCTTCCACATCGACTCATTCGGCTCTCGTTTGAGGCGCCCGTGTGGTTTATCTGTGGCCGGCGGGGATCGAGTCGGCCAATGTTTTGTTGTTGATCATGCCTGTCACACTGTTCGAATGTACAAGTTTCAGTGATTCTCTAAACTGTGTCAGTGCTTTTTAAAAGGTGCGCTCCAAGCAAGCTACTGTACTCCTTGGCCTGCCTTAGATAAAAAAACTCTACGTTAAATTTTAAAAAGGCAATCAGTACGATAACTGTTTCCTAATGGCAGGTTTTAGAAAACATTTTAATCTCGAGGCAAAGCCCACTCAAAACACCTCCGCTTCTAGGGCTCCCCTTTTTTTTGATATTTCTCTCACTTTTCTAGGCAATGCTCATTTTTCTCTTCTTCAATATTTTGTACCTCACTCGCAAACACATATCACTTGAACCAAAGGCCAGAAAAATGCATATATATGTACCCTGTTTTTCATCTAGTCACGTAAAAATTTGTAAATACAAAAGCATTTTGTCTTCCTATATTTTGTCATAGTCGTCACTTTTTATGAAACGACTTTTCGGGTTATTCAATTGGCAATAAATTGTATATATTTTTTTCAAAAACATGCACCAAAACAACACAGAACTTTGGAAAACAAACACTTTTTTGAGTTTAAATGCAAAAATTAGGAGTGACTACTTTGCGCCAAATTTTTTGCGCAACTCGCCATAACTTTCTCCTAAGTGGGCGAATCTTTATGATTTTAGTGTCATTTTGTAGATCTCAACAAGTGCAACAAAATGAGGGAGTGGGACAAATGCTACCTTTTTTTGCGCACCTTTTTTCACGTTTTAAAAAAGCTCTAAAAAGCTAATATTAACCAATTTCTATTCCAAAAGTTGTTTTTCTAGGCAATTTTAGGGCGTAGAATCGAAATTTTGGCATAACAGAGCGTGTGGAACCAATTTGAAAGACAAAACGGCTAGATCAAATTACAGAAAATTGTCGATTTTTCTCTTTGTATAACTCCGTCCGTTTGTTTCCACAAGCTCTGATATGTCAAAATTTCGATTCTACGCCCTAAAATTTCCTAGAAAAACAACTTTTGGAATAGAAATTGGTTAATATTAGCTTTTTAGAGCTTTTTTAAAACGCGAAAAGGGTGCGCAAATGTCCGGGTGCGCAAAAAAAAAGTCGCATTTGTCCCACCCCCCAAAAATCATAAAGATTGGCCGACTTAGAAGAAAGTTGTGGCGTGTTTTGCAAAAAATTTGGCGCTCCAAAACTTTAAAAAACAGAGTAATTTCTATTGACTGGATATCTTGTGCTAATGGTGTTTTCTTCAATTGCACTATTATAACCCAATCAAAAGTTAAACGGTTCATTTTCTTTCTCAACTCTGTTTGTCCTCTTTTCTTTGCCACCCGCTTACGCCTTCAAACTATAATCGTATCTCGAAAAACGCCAGTGAGGTTTGCTTGCGTGCATTTTATTTTCATCAAGTGATGAAGTGCAAAATAACACCTCATTTTCTTACAATTTATTGGATTTTCCATGCAGTTTCTCACTAACAATCATTATTTGTTCAATTAAGCATTGTAATGCCTAGTGAAGAGGGTGAGGCAAGAACCGATCCCGTTGTCGGCAGTGATCTCTCGGATTTAGCCCGGAAAAAGATGAGGCTCGACTCGAATGATGATTTTATGACGGTAATCTTTGAAAGTAAAAGAATGAGCTAAAATCTTCTTTTAGGATTACGCTCAACAAGCAAAAAGGCTTGGTGAACTGCTTACCCGGGTTCTCAGCATTGAAAAGGTTATATTTGCGTGGAGGTTGTTGCTAATCAAAAGTTTTCAGGCTGAATTTTCTGGTGCTAATGTAAATAACCTCAAGAGTTGCATCGACGAATTGGTCAAACAGGGAACACAATTGAGTCAGTTTTATAGCGAAGGTTTTAGAATTATTTTGCTTTCAGGTAAATCTGGAGTTCACGATCTTTTCCTTACCGCTTGTACTTCGTTTGAGCAAATCGCTTCCACTGCCGATCAACCATCAGAAGGTCCATCGATTGGGTAATAAAATTCTCTTGAATAATCACTTAGTGTTTATTTAGTGCTGTGCTTTATATTCCGAAACTAGATACCGTGGAGCAATCACCTGAAGGTCAAGCATTCAGCTATGTCCTTGGGATTTATAACCGGATTCAACGGGAGCTCAAAAGCGAGGTAGTAGCAATCTTTTGAAATTTAAAATTGTTTTTCTTTTCGTTTAGTTTACTTTGGAAAACGAGTACTCGTTTTGTGAAATATTGCTTCAGCATCTGTACTCGGTTACTGGGATGCTACTTGCTGGTGAACTGGCTCCAAAGTGAGATATAAAATTCTGTCTTTTACTTTGATCTACGACGAAAGGAGTAGATACTATTTATCTTTTTAGATTGAGCGGTCGGGTTGCTCGACTTGCCTTCTGTAAACGAATGTATCTAGCATTAATGCCAGAAGTATTTCTTCAAACCTTTGTCGAGCATCTTTGCTTAAAAGCGTCTTCGAAGTTTGTACAGGTAGGGCATCGCCTTTTTGTTTATTATAAGCTTTTTTTCTCAGATCTTTGATTTGATCCTCACACAGCAAAAGGACTCGTTGGTTGGGCAATCAGTGGTTCATCAGCACGATAATATTGTCGATCTTCCTTATAAGGTACTTAATTTAATTTTGATAAAAGTATATTTTAAATTTAGTTAATAATTGCCCTACTCAAGCTTCGAGTTAAAACAGGACAAGACTCTGCAGGGAAAGACGTTTTTATCCGACCGTTTGCGGATTTGGTGGGTAAATTAGGAAAAGGTTTTATAACGATAAACTTTTAGATTGCAAATCGTGAAGACTTTGTGCCAGAATGCTTAGGTGATTTGCCTGGCCGAGAAATTCAACGGACTTCTTTCTTGGGACCTTTCTTCGATTTTTCTTTACCCTGCGATGAAGGCAGTGTAAGTGTTTGAAAGTGTATAAATAGTTAAATTTATCTTTTTAGTTGAGAACATCCGAAAATTTCTTTGGCGTAGAAGAACGTCCGCGTGAAAGTGAACTTCGTGGATTTTACCTGCCATATCAAAACCGAATCAATGCTTTCCGGGTTTGCTTGTTTCAAGTTTTCAGCATGTTTTGATTTATTTTAGACTCACTTGCTTGAAATCAGCAAAGCTTTACTCGGAAACGTATCAAGTAGAAGCCGAACGTTGGATTTCTTTGCTGCAATCATTAAGCACAATGCAAAAAGAGCTCAGATGAGGGTAATTTATTGGTTTTAAATTTTTGTAATCTTCGTTCAGGCTGATTTCTCAAAATTGGCGAGCCACGGCTTTATTTTCAATATATTGTGCATACTCTACGATATGTCATTTCCTATCGACTACAAGAAGGTACTTTTAAATCCAGTTTGCGAACTAAATTTTGTTTTCAGGTCAATCCTAGTTACCCGCTTTCGAAAGGAGCACGTGTGGACATATCTGAGCAAACACGTTTCCAAATGGACTTGAACGATGCTCGCGAATATGCTGATCAACTCTGTTTGAATTAACTCCATTTTTCAAGACAGTCAGTTCTAGATCCACCAAGCGCTGAATCACCCCCAGAGAACTTCTCTACCGAGTGTTTCTTCCTTACAATGCAATGTGAAAATATTGGAATGAATGGCGCAATCAATCGATTGAAGGGCTTGAAACAACATATTGGCACTTTACGAGATAGGCTTGAGGTTGCTTAATTTGCTTCATTTGAATGTTCTTCATGGTCCTTCATTTGAAATAATTGAGCTACTATTCATCAATTCAACTAGTATTTTTAGAACCTCGAAGAAGAACTACGAAGAATGCCTGAAAGTCCAATGGCAGACTTTTCGAAACAACAACTCAAGAAAGAAATTGAACATATTAAGAAGAATAAAACGGTTCGTATAATTAAAGGAAAACATTTGAAAATGACTTGTTCAGCGTATCGTTCGAGGAATTATGTGCTTTGAGGCTCTCATACAAGATGAAGCATACCTCACTAAAGCTTTGGATTTTTCGTCAAAACAACTTTCACTTTTGATCAACGGAATAAATGGAGATTTGTAAGTCTAGTATAATTTTGGCGTAAAATTTTACGTTTAGTACCGTTAATGGAATCTTGCCGCCGACGTGCCCCCCTCTTTTTGCCGCCTACCCTGAATTTTATCTCGACAATTTGCTTGATCTCTTCAGCTACTGCTTACAGTTGGCTAATTGCTCCACGCTAATTATACATTTTTTCCAGAAAAACTCCTATGATCTTGTCAATGCAGGTCAATTTCCCGGTACAATTGCTAATCTTTTTGTGCTCGCAAACTTTTGTTCGAAATCCATTCTTGTCAGCAAAGGTTCGTAGTTTCTTTTTTAAAAGCTGGGCTTTTCAACTCTATAATTAAGACAAACTTTACTCCAAAGTCCCATTTTTCAACTGGACATAATTTTGCAGGCACCCTTGGAAAAGTGAACGTTTTGAATAGTTGAGACAAACTCCAAAAACGTTTTTTAATAATTTAATGATGAATTTAAATTTGAAAGTCACTTGTCGATAGCTCTTACCGTTTTCGAGAACTGGAAATTCGATTTTGTATGGAAAAGCCAGTTTTTCCAATAAAAAATTTTTCTAAGGAGTTTTATCCAAAAACATTATGATTTTCAGAAATTAGATCAAATTTAAGCATGACTCTTCTTTGGGAATTAGGTGATCTGGGAAATGATCGAGACAGGAAAAAGAAAAAAGAAAAAAAAGTGGAATTTTAAGCCATTTTACACAATTTTTTGACCTTTTTTTGTCCGCCTCAGGTTCACACCCATTTCCTGACGCGGCCGTTTTCTGAATGAAAAATTCTCAAAGAAGAGTCATGCTTAAACTTGATCTAATTTCTGAAAATCATAATGTTTTTGGATAAAACTCCTGGATAAAAAGATAAAACTGGATAAAACGGAGTAAAGTTTGTCTAAAATAAAAATTTTGCTGATTGCCTATTTGTTTTATATCGTTTTTAATTGTTAAATATAAATAGAAATTGATTACAAAAAGCGGTTTTAACGTACCATCATTCATTTTTGAAAAACTCCAAAAACTGATCTACCTTTGAAATACATTAGTGTATTTTAGGTTGTGGAAGTAGTTGCTCTTGTGGCCCGAATGCCTTTATTGTGGAATCCTTTGATCAATCATCCAGGTTTAGTTATTGAAAATAGTTTTTAATTTTTCACAAAAGTCATAAAACTTATTTTAGTTGCACTTCGCCTCCTTCTACCGTCTCTTGTCAAATTCTATGCGTTTGTTGAGGAAAGAACCGATTTTTATGAGAAATTTTCCATCAGATATCATATTCAGGTTTCGAAAACTTTATAATCAATCATTTCTTCAAACTTTAGACTATTTTCAAGATTCTTTGGGACAACATTATTTACCAGGCGACTTTGATTGATCTAGCAAAGTTTGAAACTTATGACTATTTGTTCTCATTTTAAAATAGAGAATGCTCTGATGATTTCATTCGTTTCATCAACATGATCATTAACGATGCTACTTTCCATCTGGATGAGAGCTTGGCTGGTTTGAAGAAGATCCACGATATTGAAGGCATTATGAACAAACGGTGTGTTGCTTTTGACTAAAATTAAAATTTTGAATTTTAAAATTTAGGGAAGAATGGGCTAGTATGAACCAGGAAGAACAACAAGGAAAGATGGAAGCTTTAGATGAGGCAAAACGTATGGTAAGCAATTCATTGGCTGATAGATGAAACAAAATATTTGATGGCTAAGACTAGATATTTTAGGTTCGAAACTGGTTGTATTATGCCAACTATACCCTAGATCTTCTTGGTTATTTAACAGCCGGAGCTGCAGAGCCATTCCTCAAACCGGTCAGTTTTTCAATTTTTATTTTAAGTTTTTTCGTTTAGATTCTTGGAGAAAGATTGGCCACGATGCTCGACCACAATATATCTCAACTTTGTGGAAAGAAATGCTCGGAATTGAAAGTTCGCGATGCTGAACAACGCTTCAATTGGAAGCCAAAGGAACTTGCGACTCAGGTACCCTAGTTTTGTAATTTGTCAACCACTCATTTTTTTCAGGTTGTGATCATTTATCTCAATCTTTCCGGGGAAGAGTTTGCTGAATACATCGCCAAAGACGAAGTTTGATTCAAAATAAATGGAATTGCCAATTTAAACTTCAGCGCACTTACAAACCTCAATTAATGACTGAAATAATCCAACGAATGCTTCACTCTCGTGTTGTTTCCGATACGCATCGAGAACTTTTCACGGGACTTATGCAACAAGCCGAACAAGTAACTTTTGGCGTTTAAAGTTATTCAATCTGTTTAGATTTACAAAAATAGGCAAAGTGAGGAAGAGGAATTGGACGATGCTCCTGATGAGTTCTTGGGTTGGTCCCTCTGTTCGGTTTTATTTGTAAAGTTGTTTAGACCCATTGATGAACACTTTGATGCGTGATCCAGTAAAGACTCCATCTGGAATGGTGTTTGATCGAGTAGTGATCACTCGTCATCTATTAACGAGCAAAACGAATCCGTTCACTCGAGAAGCTCTTGATGATAAAGAATTGCAATCAGGTATTTTATTGCAATTAATAGCTGATTAAAAAGATGAGATTCAGTAAATAATTTAAAACTTTTAATTTGCTAATTTATTGCTGAAAAACATTTTGACACAAAAACTAGCCATTGTGGCTATATTGTGGGTGTTTAAAGCCTCGGAGAGATTTGAGAAATGCAATCTGGGCCCCTTTCTTTCTTTCTTTCCTTTTGACCGGGTCGTCTTTCTCTTTGGCAAACTTGGCTTACATCGATTTTTAGATGACGAACTACGAGAACGCATCAACCAGTGGATTCGTGAAAAACTAACTGCGAAGGGTAAAAAATAAAGAAAGCTTTTAATTTCCCGTGCTTTTATCACAATGGGTGTTTTACTTGAGCATTTTCCGGTAAATTGTCTTTCTTTTTATCTTTAATTTAATCCGTAAAACATCGATCACTTTTGCTTCAAAAGAACAATAAAGTTTGGGGTGGGGAAATGCCGGTCTTTTTTAGCTCTTTTTGATACGTGGTTTCATGATACCTTGTGCATCTTTCAAATATTTTCTGCTTTTTTATTGGTAATTATTTGTGTTTATCTTTTTTATTTGCTGTGATACTTTAATGCTATCTTTTAATTTATACAGAATAAAGCTCTGTGTATTGATGTCCTTTTAATTAAATATTTGTTCAGGAAACGAAAAATTATCTTAATTCTAAATATTTATGGTGTTATGAATGTTAAATCTCTCCAGACGGCGAATTGTTTGAGGCGTCTTCTCGACAAAATGCTGTCCGTGCTTTCAAAGGGTTTCAAGGTTGGTCCTTGTGTTGTTATTCAATTCTTATTCACTGTTTTAACACGTGTAACTTTTTCGTTTAGCCAGCGGCAAACTCGACCGTTGCCGCTGCAACAACAGTCACTTCGACTCGCCTTGCTTCAACAAATGATGTCAATTTCACCGTAAGCTAGTTTATTGTTTTTAAAATTTAAATATTATATTTTAGGTGCAAAGCTACAAATTGCACAAACTTGACAATGGGCCCAAAACTTCGGTGACGCTCAACCGAACGGATGCTCTTGATTTTTACAGAAAAATGCAGGTATCCAAAAATCTTTTATGTATTTTATACAAAAAAAAGTTTTATATTTTAAAATGTTTGACAGGTGATTCGTCGTATGGAAAGCGCTGCTGGTAACTTGTACAAGGAGAAGAAAATTCGAGGATTTTGCCATCTTTACTCCGGACAAGTAATAAATTCAGTGTTAGGATTGAAACAACACAATTTTAGGAAGCTTGCGCCGTTGGAATGAAAGCTGCGATGACGGAAGGTGATGCTGTGATTACAGCTTACCGATGCCACGGATGGACATATCTTTTGGGGTCAACTACCACCCAGATTCTCGCTGAGCTTACAGGTTCATTTTTTAAGAATGGGTTTTTAAACCAAAGAAATTTGAAGGTCGCATTGCTGGCAATGTGTACGGAAAGGGAGGATCAATGCATATGTACGAGAAAAAGTGGGTTTATTCAACTTTTTTTTAAAATTTGTGTTTTTGGTTGTTGAATTGATTGGGTAACTATGTTTTGAGAATAATGACTCATCTTTAGTTTCTATGGAGGAAATGGAATTGTCGGTGCTCAACAACCCCTTGGAGCTGGCGTTGCTTTTGCTATGAAATACCGGTAAGCCTTGTCTTTTACAGAAGATTTTATTTTATTTTTTAGCAACCAGAAGAATGTTTGTTTGACTTTGTATGGAGATGGTGCGTTTCTCAAATTTTTTTTTTGGTTTAGCTTTTATATGCACAACAAACATCTGCTAATACCTAAACTTTAGGTGCGGCTAATCAAGGACAACTCTTTGAGGTTGAATTTTTTTGGTTAATTAGTAAACCCTTGTTCTCTAGGCCACAAACATGGCTAAATTGTGGGGGTTGCCTGTGATCTTCATTTGCGAGAACAACGGTTTTGGAATGGGAACTCCTATCGAACGAGCATCGGCATCTACCGATTACTACACGAGGTTAGTTTTTAAAGCGTGGCGTTGCTAATGTTAATTTTAAAGAGGTGATTACGTGCCCGGGATCTGGGTTGACGGAATGGATATTTTGGCTGTTCGTGAAGCGCTCAGATGGTCAAAGGTAATTAAAGCGTAAATTTGCACGGCAAACTACCCCTTTAGGAATATTGTGACGCCGGCAAAGGACCCTTGATGCTTGAAATGGCCACCTATCGTTATCACGGTCACTCCATGTCAGATCCTGGTACAAGGTAATACTTTCAACATTTAATACTAGTATATTTTGATATTTAGCTATCGTACTCGTGATGAAATTCAAAACGTGCGTAAAACGAGAGATCCTATCACTGGCTTTAAGGACCGTGTCGTTACTTCCGGACTTGTGACTGAAGATGAACTGAAAGAAATCGATAAGGTAAAACATTTTAGATTGATCTTGTCATTGATATAATTCTTTAGGATGTTCGCAAGGAGGTCGAGGAGGCAGTAAAAATTGCCACCACCGATGGCGTCCTTCCACCAGAAGCTCTTTACGCTGATATTTATGCCAATACTGCCACTCAAGAAATCAGGTAATTACGAATTTAGCAGCTAGTTTTTGGTGTAAATGGATGATTTGGATATTATACTCAGGTACTTGGGTTTGAATTTTATTGTAGGGGAGCCACCATCGACGAGACCGTAAAGCAACCATTCAAAACGACCACCGAGGTACTCAAATCGATTGGACGACTTTAAAGAAATAGTTTACGGGATATTATCTAGCATTTTCTCCGGTTAATTCTTTAAAGGATTTATTGATATTCTTAGCTTTTCTTATTGTAGTCGTGTAGATTAGCTTTGTGTTTTGTGGAATAGGTATCTTTTTCTTTGTTTGATTGTTTTTGCCTTGTATGCTTTAGCATTTCTTTTGCATACTTTGGAAATGGTCTTTAGTTATTTATTTTCAAAGCATAGTATAAAGTATAATAAAAATTTTATACGTAAAATTCTAACATTTGTATTTTTGTATTTAGTAACGTATCTTTCAGTATATTAAGGCAACATTCGAGCGAAGACCAAGCATAGGGAAAATGAACCGGATGCACTAGGTACCAGTGAATTTAAACCGTAAGCACTAGCAGGAAAAATGAAGCACGTGAGTTTAGCACAAAAAGTACAAATGGAATTTTGAAGGCATTCATGAATACTGTTTTTTTATGAAGCAAGTGGTTTACCGAAGGGGAAAAGACACCAAAATGACCCTTTTTAGTATCTATGTACAAAAGCTACAGGTTTTAGATGCGAAAATCCACAAAATTCAAGTCAATGTGGAGAAGTTTGAGCTGTTTTAGAATCTCGGCGCCTAGTAAAGATGAGCAATCTGGGTATCTGCACGAATTTCCTCAAATACTTACATTTTGAACCCAGATTGCCCAATTCAAAAAGAGATCAATTGGGGAAAAACCTTGAATCTTGAAAACATAACAATTTTTCATTTTCTTTAATCCCATTCCAATTCGACAATGTTCTCCTTGAGTTCTTTGAGCATTTTCGTCCCGTACGAGTCAGGGCATTTATTTTCGGCCACGTGATCGCGACACATTGTCTAAAAATGGTTTTGATTAAGAAAATTCAAGAATATTCCTGGCTATTGGATATATTTGATTTTACTCGTCACTCACTTTTCGGCAAGTATCACAATTCGCACAATCGGTGATCTGCTTACAGAATTCACATGGGGCACGGTACCAGCGAGCGCGAGAACTGAAAAAAAAACAAGATTTTGAAGACTACAATTTGAAGACTACAATTTGCATACGGTACTAGAAGTACTCTAAACATTGTACTGATGAGTTTAACAATAACTTTAGAATGCTGGATACGAAAAAGTTTCTTTCCAGAATAGCTCTTTTTCGAAACACTCACCCAACAGTCCTCAACCAGTGCCCGTTCATTTGCCCGACCTCGCGAATTTGGCACAAATTCAAATTCGCCCCAATCACTGCCCCGTAGATCTGAAATTATTTAAATGACGAATTTCTGAACAACATTTGAGCACTTTCTTGTTCTTTCTTGTTAAAATCCCTTTTGCATACCTGTGCGGGCAGTCGTCGACTCAGCTTTAATCTGTTGAATGTCGTTTTCTCTTCATTCGCCAAACGTCGAATCAATTTCACCACCACGTCCTGGAGTTTTTATTTGTGAAAATTTTAAGAGAAGATTCTTTATATCTTTATGGATTTCACTCAAAAACCAACTTTTGACGAGTGAAACTCGTGGCAAGCGATCACTATCGTCAGCACTTCATCCGTTGACAGAATACTGTAATTCGGGTACTTGAAATTCTTCTAACTTCTTCTAAGAACTATTTTCCACTTGAAAAATTGCTATTTAGATGCGTTCTTCTATTTAGATCACTTTTCAAATGCAAATCGCTTACTCAAGATTTTGTCTCCGAACGAAATCCTCGCACGCGTCAATCACTGAATCCACTTGATATTTATTGGCGAGACGGAGAATCACTGGCAGATTTTTCACTGGAAAAAAACACATTTATAGCGTTTGTCTTATGAGCTTGAAATCGTGTCTAACTTATTTTCAATTCAACTCTAAATTGTGCTGGGTTTAAGGGGTAAAGGACTATCATTTTGACTATGCTACTGTGCTATAAAAGCGATAGTACCCAAGTAGTACTGTAGTACAAGCTGTATAGCTAGCAATTGAGATTTTTTGATAAAGAAAACTCCCAAGCTAGTCTTGGAATCGAATTGACTAGGGATGGACAAATGAAAAAATCGATTCCCGATCATTGTGGTTTGTTGATTGAATATCTTGAAAGTTCTTTTTTAAGATATTTTAGATATTCAATTAACAGAACGAAACTGGAAATGGATCGATTTTAAGCGGTAGGCTAATTTTATTTGAGCAACAGGGTTATTCCTAAGTACTGTAGCCATTCCTAAGTGCTGTAGCCATTCCTAAGTACTGTAATAGATGTAGATCTCAATAAGTGCAACAAAATGAAACCAAAATCATAAAGATTGTGTCACTTAGAAAAAAAAGTTATGGCGAGTTGCCCAAACGACCCAGTTGCGCAAATGACCCTGTTGCGCAAATAAAATGGCGGAAATTAGCCTACCCCGATTTTAACGATTTCTCTAAACTTAGCCGAAACAAAATGAATCTTTCTAGTGAATCGAGAATCAGTAAAATGATATTGTGAAATTTAAAAATAAACCACAAAGTCTTTTAGAAACAAATCAAGAGCTACAGTAAGATTTCTTGCTATTCTCGATTCTTTCTCGATTCACTTGATCATTTTCGATTCCAAGCTTTCCCCGCATGAGTTCTAGAACTCAAAAGTTTTCCTTGAAATCTTTGATTTCCTTACCTCCAATAAGCGAATGGTCTTGTATAGCATCTAGAAAAATGCCAACATCACCGCTTTTCTCATCGACGATCTCTCGATGATATTCGTCCATCTGAAAAGTAGAGAAGATTATAGTTTTAGATATTTTTGATAAATAGTTTTGATAAATATTTTAAGTCAGCTTTTTTTTTACCTTATCAAAATCCTTTCCGAAGCACATGATCGAGAAAATTGGCGAGAGTTGGCGCATATTTTCGGCATCTGGAAAAGAGAGATTGCTAAACTTGAAATGGGCTTTTTATTGATTTGTTTATCAATACTGAAATCTCATTTACCGATTAAAAACGTTTGCGTTTGGACGATGATCTTGAATGGACGGTCGACAAGATTTGATGGAGAGCTGGAAGTGGAAGAGAATGAGGAGGATGGCGATGGAGGGCAGCACACATCCGTTGACAACACTTCGGTGCCCATCTTTTGAAAGGGATTTCAACTGGAAATGTTTTCGATTAATTGATTTAATGAAAGATAATGAAATCAATGGTAAAACGGGGAGTAGAATGACAATTTTGACATGTAAAATGTGCTTTGTACATGTACATACTTTGTGCTTAGACTTCTAGTGTACTAATTTTCACTTTTCGTTGAAAAGGAGACAAATTTAGTGCACTAGGAAGCACTGGAAAGCACTAGAAGGCACTAGAAAGCACTAGAAGGCACTAGAAAGGGCTAGAAAGCACCAGGAAGCACTAGAAATCACTAGAAAGCACTAGAAATCACTAGAAAACACTAGAAATCACTAGAAAACACTAGAAATCACTAGAAAGCACTAGAAAACACTAGAAAACACTAGAAAGCACTAGAAATCACTAGAAAACACTAGAAATCACTAGAAAGCACTAGAAATCACTAGAAAGCACTAGAAATCACTAGAAAACACTAGAAATCACTAGAAATCACTAGAAAACACTAGAAATCACTAGAAATCACTAGAAATCACTAGAAATCACTAGAAAGTTTCTTATGCACAAAGTACATTAAAGTAACATTTACAGAACCAATCAAATGCTAATCATTGTGAGAAAAGTGACGGAGTATACTAGAAAGGATGTGTTTAGATCGAGTTTAAAGTACAGAAAAGAACTAGATAAAGAAAATAAGGAAACTGATTGATCATTGCAAAAGCTGGGAGGGAATTGTAAGACATTGTAAGACATTGTAAGACATCTTCAAGACATCAAACAAAAGAAGATCAAAAGAATTTCCGATTAATGATGAGATGCACTTTATTCATCAAAATATTCAAAGATTTCGATCAAAGCACAGATCAAAATTTAAGAATAAAGCAGAAAAATCATCGAGTGCACTAAAAGGCAAATACATAAAAGAATTTGAGGAGTCTGGCTCTCTTTGATCGCTGCAAAATGACAAGTTGACTCAGAAATTTCAAGATAATCAAAAAAAGAAAAGTTGAAAGATTGATGAAAGTAGAGATTTTTGAAAAGAGAGAGAAATGCAAGGTGCAAGGGAGAGAGAGAGAAAATGAGTAAAAAAAACGTTGATCTATTTGTTTTCGAATCGAATCGTTTTTCTCAGGCTATACTCTAGAAGAGATTTTTTTCCTCAGAGCTTCTCAAAAGTTCTTTTTGTCTTTGAAATTTCTTTTGCACACTGCTGATGCTGATGCTGATGACATGGATCATTTCTTTTTCTTTTTCTTTTTCTATTTCTTTTTCTATTAATCTTTTGTTGGTTTTTTTAAAAATTTTTATCGAAAAATTGCAAAGTTAGGTTTTCTTTTTGATTTAGAAAGTTGGAATTGTGTTTTTTTTTTTTTTTTTTGAATTTTTTCAAAAAAATTGATTTATTTTGAAAAACTAGTATTTTCTAGTATTTTCTAGTATATAAAACTAGTATTTTCGATTTTTAAACTCAAGACAGATAAGGGGATAATGCACAAATAAAGGAGTGCACCAGAGGGAGTGTGTTTCTAAGTTTGAGAGTAGATGGGCAAGGAAAAGTTTCGTTTCTCATCAACAGATCAAACTATTTCCTGAGAATGTGTTTAGGTTGCTCAAAAGCAACGTAAACACATTCTTTCTAGTGCACTCGGTTTGAGATTTTCTTCGAGAATTGCACAACGGTGAAAGGTAACTGAGTACATTCGAATGAGTACATTAGAATGGGAATGAATGAGTACATTAGAAATAGAATGTAACTGAGTACATTAGAATGGGAATGTTTTCATTAGAGCACAAAGTACAGCACACAGTACAAAACGGATAACTTCTCTAACTGTTTTGTAAAACGAAACTAGAGGTTTTCCCATTTTTTAAAAGTCGCCATTTTGATCATTTAAATGTTTCACGATAAAAAAAATCGAATTGGAAATATTTTGCACGAAAAATGGCAAAAAATGGTCAAAATGACAAAAAAAATGGCAAAAAATGGGTAATAAATATTTGATCGGCTTATCAGAAAAGGAATAGGGAAAGGAAAGGGAAAAAAAAGATTCGTCGGCAACAACAAAATATCAAAATAGAAACGAAAATGTATAGAAAGTAGAGTGACAATTTCGACATGTAAAATGTGCTTAAATTGAAATTTCTTTCCTATCATGTAGCCACATTTTGCCACAAAATGGCATAAGATTTGGCAAGAGAAAATGGAAAAAATGAAATTTGAATCGAAACAACTAGGAAGTTGTCGGGAAAGGCGATGAAAGTGTTAAGAAAAAGGAAAAAGTTTTGAGGAGAAGAATGGGGATTCAATGAGGAGGGGGATTTGGTAAGGGAAAGGGACAGCTGCCCCCCTTTTTTTCCCCTCATTGAGATCATCACTTTGAACCAAAGAATGAAAAAAATTGGAATGTCCATTTGAAACCTAAAAAGTTCTCTTGGGAAATAAAAATATGAAAGGTATGAAAGGGAACAGGGAACAGTTGGTGAGAAGAAAATGGAGATCTCAGTTTCTCGTTATTGTCCAATGAATTTGTCCAAAAAAGATAAGATAAATTAGAAAGAGAAAGTTTGGTCAGAAATGGGTAAAAAGAGGGTGATTTTGTGGAAAATCGGTGATTTCCATGTACTAGGTGATGAGTGTTTGCGTTTTCTGAGCTTAGGGAGAGCTGTGGAACAGATCTTAAGAAAGATTCAAAGTTTGAAATTCTGCTTATCTAGTAGAAGTCGTATTCTATAATTGGAGTACTGTAACTGGGGTTTTAGCTCGAGTATTGGGTACTGTAGTACTGTAGTACCCAATACTAGTACTATAGTACCCAACACTAGTACTGTAGTACCCAATACTAGTACTTTAGTACCCAATACTACAGCTGAGCTGAGTACTGGAGTCCTGGAGTACTTTGACTAGAGTTTATTATGATTGAAGTGCTGGATTGCTGGAGACAAGACTGGAGTACTGTTATTAAATTACTGGTTACAGTGTCTGAAGTTTTGGAGTACTGTAACTGGAGTTACAATTCACCAATTGTACTAAAGGGTATTGGATTACTGTAACTGGAGTCACAGTACTCAAATTGTACTAAAACTAGAGTACTAGCAACTAGCTTTACTATAGTAATCCAGCACTAGTTCATTATTGTTAGCTAATACAATCTGACTCTAGAAAACGCCATAAACTATACTCTAGTAGCTCTAGTAGCAGATAACAATACGAGTTTAGGTCATTGATCCTTGAATGCCTATAATCTATCAGCTAGCAGCTTATCGAAAAGCCTGTAACCAATCAAAAACTCACAAACTTTTTGAGTATTTCTTAAAAGCAAACAAAAGCGAAATGTTAAAGTTTGACCGTTTTTTTTTCTTTCTTTTGGTAACTGAAAACTGAAAGCTTTTGGGCAAAAGGACATTACTGCGAAACGAGGCCTCGAGAAGAAAAAAAAAGGAGATGGAGAGAACGGGAAGAGTGATCGAGTTGAGGGGATTTGTTGAGGAAAAGAAAAGAAGAACACACGTAAATTCCTCCATAAATCATTTTGAATGTTTTTTTTGTGTATGTTCCTTAGGACTTTTGGACTTAAGCTCAAGTTCCTCCTTTCAAAAACACGCAATTTGATGAGATCAAAAGAATTTCGGGAATTTTTCATTGAATAAAGTGATAGGAATTCTTCAAGGAAGTAAAGTTGTCGAGAATTTCTTCAAAAATCGGTCTTAATTGAGGATTTTCTCACTATTTTAGTATTATCTTTGTATTAAACTCAAATAGTTTCACTTGTTGACACCAAGATTACACGAAACAGCTTAGAGAAGCGATTAGCTGCTCATAAAGCTTTAGAAGATAACAAGAGATAACACCAACAACTAACAACTAACAACAAAAAGCTAACATATAAAGTAAATACTATTAAGCAACTAAAGATCAATTTACTAATATAATTTTCAAAGAATAAGATCTTTCATAGTAAATTCAAGCAGTCTGATTTTAGCTTGAGAGGAAATTAGAGTCCAAAAGCAGCTTATCTATCAGCTAGCAGTTTATCTAGCAGCTAGCAGCTTATCTATCAGCTAGCAGTTTATCTATCAGCTAGCAGCTAGCAGCTTATCGAAAAGCCTGTAACCAATCAAAAACTCACAAACTTTTTAAGTATTTCTTAAAAGCAAACAAAATGTTAAAGTTTGACCGGATTTTTGCAGTCTTCCTTTAGCTTGAGAGGAAATTAGAGTCCAATTTTATTTCCCCTCTACAGAAACTGTACTATTATATATATATTCTTATCAACGAAATGCAAAAAAAAACCATTTAAAAGGCACACTTTGTTTTGTTTTTATGAATAAAAGTTTATTTGCATGAAACTGGGAAGAGTGCAATGAAGAGAGACGATCAACAAGAAGATAAAAGATAAAAGGGAATGAAAGAAACGATTTGTTATCTCAAAATACAGATGGATGGCCACGAGTCACCAAAAAAAAAATGTAAAAAGACGAGTAAAATGAGGAGAGAAATTTTTCGTTATTTTTCAACGATAAGCAAAATTCGTGCATGTTTGCAAGAAGAGAATTTCTCTGGGGAATTTCTTTGGAGAGAAGAGATCGATCGGATGATAGAGATGAAAAAGAGGATGACGTTTGGGAAATTTTCGAGATTATGATATTTAGATATGAGTCGAAGAAAACTCCATTTTTATTTACTAAAGAGTATTGAGGGTTTAGAATAAGAAAATATATTGTAATAGAGTGTCTTTGTAATAGAAAAGATATTGTAAAATAGAGTGTCGTTCTTTCGAGTAATGCACACTCTAAAGTGTTCTCTTTTTTTCAAAAATCTCAAATTACAGGAAGTTTCCCATTGTTTTTCCCAGGAAATTGACGTCTTTTTCGGTGGTGACACAAAACAGGAGAAAGTTGCAGAATTTCGGAGGATAATTCGAATAGAAAAAAATTAGATCTGAGAACTTTTATATTATGATTCCAATGTGAAGTAAAGATTCGTAGAACTGTTAAAAAGGGGAACTTTTA